AAAAAAAAAGTTTACTTGAAAATTAAAAAAAAAGAAACTAAAGGAGTGTAAACAAAAGGCCTGAAGCTTATCCAGCTGCCTTTAGCTTCCCTGCCTGTCCTGTGGTGTCCTCACCCTGCCACCCTCCTCCAGCAGGCCACATGACTCCTCACAGAACAAAAGATGTTCGCCTTAGACGCTGCTTCAAAAGGTCTCCCCAGTCCCAGCCCACTGCAGGAGTTATGGGTCGGGGGTCCAGTTCCAACTTCTCACATTACTGATGCACAATCGGTCTGGTCCCTTCTTCTGTAAGGAGGAGGGGATGGCGACATCTGCCCCCGAGGGTGGCTGTTAGGATTAAGGGAGACAAAGTCTGCGAACCTGTGGCAGGGTGCCTGGCTGCCCTGGCGCCCTTGCCGAGCGTCCTTGCGTCTTCGCAGGAGGTCTTTCTGCACTGCCGAGTTCTAGTCTGTGGAATGCTTGACACCAGCTCCCGCTGCGCCCAGGGCTGTCACCGGCGGGTGCGACGTGCGGCCCGGGAAGGAGAGCGCGCTGCTGCTTTGCAGAGCCAGATACTGACAGGAGGCCCGATCAGCATCGCCCAGGAGCCTTAGCCCTACACACCTGCGGCGGTCCTCCGGGCCGCTGTCCTCTCTGGAACTTCTGCCACACCCCGCAGGACGTCAGAGGACCTCCTAGACCACCTAACTTCTTTAGACCATGGACTGTGAGTTTGGACAAACTCCCAGAACCCCTCACTGCTTTTGGACCATAGCTGGGTACAAGTCACAGCCGTGCTGAGCGTAGATCCCAGCGGGCCTTCAGCTTCCTCAGGGGAAAAACCAAGCTGTCCACTCAGAAGGACCCTTGTCCCACCTCGTCTAGGATGTTCCTGCCATTAGACACCTCCTGCACCATGCGACAGGCCTACTCACATCAGAAGCTGTTTATAATATTTCAAGTTACAAACCAAAAACTAAATACTTAGCAAAATTATGACTTAAATACTCAATGATCCCTAGTTATGTAAATAATAATGGTGCCTTAAAATTTCAATTCAAACACAGAAGAGTTATAGGGACTTGGGAGTTTATCAATAAAACACTGTATAGTAAGGGAATGCCTTTTGGTTTTTCTCTTGCATAATATTTTTAAAAAGTTTTTTTCTTGCACAATAATTTTTGAATGGTCTATTGCCTTAGGTGAAATATTTTCACTTAATATATATTAACAAACTAATCAACATGCACTTAAGTGATTTAATGACTAAACTATTAGCAAAATTAAAGTTTGGTACCATATGCTGTCTACACTGGAATTCAAATCAGTCAGACAGTAGACAAAGGGATAAAATTGTATCATACTTGCTGGTGCTTAATAAATTTTATTGAAACAAATTTCATAAATCACAAATTGTTATTGGGAGCTAAATCAATGTGTGTGTGTGTGTGTGTGTGTGTGTGTGTGTGTGGTATTAGAGATCAAACCCAGGGCTCTCTACCACTTAGCTACCTCCCCAGCCCTTGTCAAAATTTTATTTTGTGACAATCTCACTAAGTTGTTCAAACTGGCCTTGAAATTGCCACCCTGTTACCTCAGCCTCTTGGTAGCTGGGGTTACCAGTATGGGCCATCATACCTGGCTGAATTCAATTTCTTGATATGCCAATTAATAACAAGCCTTTACATAAGATTAGAAAAAATACTTTTTTTAAAAAAGTATCTACAATGAATAATTCCTATTTGAACTGGTGGAATTAACAAAAGGAAGGAAAAGGATTTAATGATTTAGATCAGAGTCCAGCAGCGTTGTTCTACAGGGACACACAGCGAAATGCTTTTGGCTCTCTGGGCCGTGCAGCTTCTGTCACAGCTGTTCAGCTCTGCTGTGAAGGCACCATCACAGCGCAGACAAATCAGCACAACTGAAAACAAACGTGAGCACGGCTGCAATACCAGAAGCTGTCCAGGAACAGGCCACGAGACAGTTGGCCAGTCCCGAAGGGAGATAGAGAGTAGTGTGGCCCAAGTCCTCCTCAGGTCCCAGAATCACCGGGGGAAACACTCATAAAACACCAGTGCAGAGGCCAAATGTCCTTCCATGCTTTAGATGGTCTTCAGGTGAACTTAATCCGTACTCATGATGAGGACTATAATTTAGGGAGTGCCTGTCTGTCTCTGCTCCCCTAAGGTTGCAAGTGTCCCTAGCCTTTGCCAAGCACACTTCAGTTCTTAGCATGACTAAAGTGCCACTAGAACATCAATGGGGCACAGCCCTGGGGGACAAAGGCCACAAGTCCTGATTCCACCTGCCCCTCCTTTCTACTGGCCTTTGGCAAGGTAAGCCTCCACCCTGCTTGCTTGCTTTCCTCTTCTGAACGAGTGGGAATCACTATCATTGGTGGAATATAGAAGACCATTCTGGACTTCATCAAGCTCTGGGAAGCTTGTATTTGTAATTCCAGAGGCAAGGGTTGGACTTCCAATAAGTTAATTCCAATCTACCATTTCTAGTGAAATTCATGGAGAAAATAAAGACTCTAAGGCATAAGTCCAGCTAGAATAATAACTATTCTGAACAAAGGCCTCAACCCAGGGCCAAACCTGGGTTTTATTAATTCATGAAGAGGGGTGTGGCTTGGGGGCTGAGTGACTATGAGAGTGGCCGGAACTGTGAGAATGGTGGGAAGTGTATGTGTGCTGTGGGTTGGGCTAGGTAGGAGGCCTAAAATCACCTCTGCAGGAGAGAGGGAGAGAGAGAGAGAGAGAGAGAGAGAGAGAGAGAGAGAGAGAGAGATTCAGAAAAAGTAATCTGCACATCCCAGATTGGGGCAGTGACTAGTGTTTAGGGATCGGTGCTTCAGTTGTGATGTGTAGCCCATGCCCTGAGAAGTCATATCCTCTTCTGGTGAGGCTCATTCTCAGCCGACTGTGTGGCTTCACTCAGCCTAGCTTACACATGTTACTTGGGAGCTGTAGGTGGGGGCATCACTGACCTGTCACATTGCTTCAAAAACTACCCATCAGCACCTCGGCTGGATCCATTTGCGTTGCTTAAATCCAACTGAGAAGATAAAGAAATGTCCTAGCCAGTTCTGTACATAACAATACCGGAAGGTAGGGCCAAAGGCTCTTCGTTTAAGGAGAGCCATCCATAGTAGAACTCACCAGTTGGCTTCTGTTCTCTTTTAAGTGAAATGGAAACACGGGTGGTAATGGAATCCACGCATCTCTGCTCACATTTTTTAAAAAGTACACTTTATTAAATGTGAGGTGCTCACTGGCAACTGAGGAAACCAGGCCAAAGGAAAGTCACTGCCTCCCAAAGGGTTGGACTCCTGACAATTTCGCTTATGAGTATAATGATCAGTTCCAGGAAACACAGGGTTTGCTTGTAGTGTGGTCTTTATGCTAAGAATTGAATTTCCAGGTGAATGTGTCTTGGTTGAGAAGAACAGTGTTGGAGCGATGCTGGCTTCGCTCTCTCTGCGTCTCTCTGCGTCTCTCTCAAAGGACAGGACTCACTGTTTTCCTTCTGCTTTGTGTCACCCATACTGGTGGAAGAAAGGATGACATACATCTGCTCCGCTCCATCTCTGAGGCTCACCGCTGCGGATCTACCTCATCCTCATAATTCTTCTTTCTCCTCTTCTGCACAGATACAAGATGCCCGTTGACTGTTCATAAAGGGCCGGCAGCCCAAGGTCCATACAGTATTGAACACAGTGTCAGCCAGAGAATCACAGGCTACTTGAAAAAAGATGAAGGAATAGAAAGATTAACATAGAGAGCTTTCCCAGGTCATGCAATTGTGAAGAGGCAGCCTATCCCCAAGGACTATGCTACCCACAGGGAGTCATCTGATACAGAATTAAAGGGAAAAGCATACATTTAACAAACATTTTAGATAAACTCCTGCCCAGTCCAACTCAGTGGAATGTTCTTGGAGGTGCCCTTCTTATGTAGGATATCTGATTAAAATAATAGTGAGTTATCAGAATCTTGCTGTATGAACGCTATTTTACAGAGTGCTCCCTCAGGCAACATTGTTTATTATGTTTTCTGTCACTTTTCCTGTTCCAGAATGGGATGCACAGTTGTTTACTGACTGAGAAACATTTGTTTGTGTTGGATATGTTGGTCAGTCACTCTCGTAGGTGTCAGTGATACAGAGACAAAAGGTTTCATCCCCAAGGAGATAGGACGGTCGGGTCAACAGTTAGTTAGTACAAACCACAATGAACATGTACCCAAGGTGGTATGGAAGCCCACAAAAGGGTCCCTATCCCTTTGAGGGGTAAGAGTTATTAATTAGGGAAGGCATGTCAGAGAGACTACAGTATCTCATGTTGAAACTTCAAGAGTAATCAGGAAAATTAAGTACTGAGACAGGCGACTTGAAATTTTGGAAACATTACACCAAGCGAAAGAAGGCAGACACAAGTGTCGTACGTGATTCCACTGCAGGCAATCTAGAGAGCTAGGAAGTAGTTTGGTGGTTGCCAGGGGCTATGGACATGGGGTGATGAAGGACAGTTGCTAACAGAGACAGGATTTCTTTTGGAGGTAATGAAAATGGTCTGGAATTAGATCGTGGTGATGGGCGCTCAGCCCTGTGAATATACGAGAGACCACAGAATTGCACACTCTACATTTTATGACATGTGAATGAGGTATCAATAAGTTTGGCTTGTAGAAAAGATATTCAAAAGTTGACAAGCTGTTAGCTAAACAAAAATATAGGGAGTATTCAAGTTGATAAACTCAGAAAGGAAAGATAGCTATTGCTGCTAATCTTACAGAAATAAAAAGAATAATAAGGCAATGCCAAACAATAGACAATTTAAAGGAAATGGACAAATTTCTAGAAAGGGTTAAACTGCTGAAACTAACTAAAGAAGAAATAGAAAATGTGAATAGATTGCTATTGTATATAAATACAATAACTGACTCAAACTTTTAAATTAGGAATTAAAACCTTCCTCCAAAGAAACCTAACCCCACATGACTTCACTAGGGAATTTTACCAGATATTTAAAAAGAATTAACACCAGTCCTTTCCAAATTCACCCAAAAAGAAGAGCAATCAAACTACCTGCCAATTCATTTTTTTTTTTTTTTGGTGGAACCAGGGATTGAACTCAGGTCCTTGCGCTTTCCAGGGAAGCGCTTATTCCACTGAGCCATCTCCCCGGCCCCTAATTCATTATTATTATGATACCAAAACCAGACCAAGATAACACAAGAATAACAATCCTTAGAGCAGCATCTCTTATGAATATAGACGCAAAATCTTTAACCAAATACTAATAGACTGGGCCAGGGAGGTGGCTCAGTAGAATAAGCCCTTGTCTGGCAAATGCAAGGTCCTGAGTTTAATCCCCAATATCACAAACAAACAAACAAGCAAAAAACCCTAATAAACTGAATCTGATAACACAGAAAAAAAAATTATGCCATGACCAGGTAGGGTTTTTTTTAATAAAAAAGAAAATAAGTTTGGTTTAACATACTAAAATCAATTAATATAATAGAATTACTATTAATGTAATAAAGGACAAATACCACACGATACAGAAAAACATTTGCCAATAACAAATGGTCAAATGTTTGTTTCATGGTCAAACCACTCAAAAACTAGGAAGAGAAGAGTACTTCTACAACTTGATAAAGAGCCACAACTAACAATCATGCTTATTGCTTAAAGGATCAAAACTATAGAATTCTTAGAATTCAATAAAAAAGAACTTATAAAGGGACACAAAGGATTTGAATAGACATTTTTCCCAGGTGTTATGCAACGGCCAATAAAGATGTGCTCCACCTCACTAGTTGCTAGAGAGGTAGGTGCAAAGCCAAGCCACTGTGAGCTACTACTCCACACACAAATCAAAAGGGCAGATAATAATCCTTCTAGTGAGGGTATGAAGAAATTGGAACTTCCATACATTGCCAATGGCAATGTAAACTGACAGAGCTTTTTGAGAAACTAGTTTATCAACTTTTGAACAATTAAACATAACATTATCATATCACTCAGCAATTTCTCCTCTAGATACACACCCAAGAGAAGTGAAGACAGAGTCCCCCAGAAAAACATGTCCATACATATTTGTGGTAGCAGTAAAGATAGAAACAACCAACATAGCCATCAGCTGATGGCTGGATAAAGAGAGTACGTTCAAGCTGAACCGTGAACTGCCATTCAGTAATCAAAGGAATGAAATTCTGATACATCCTACAACAAGGATAAATGCTACTAGATGAAAGAAGTTACAGAAGAGCATGTTTTATGTGATTCTGTTTGCATCAAATGTCCAAAGTAGACAAATCTATGAGTGGAAAGAAGATCCATGTTTGAGGTAGAGGAGTTTAGGGAGGACTACATGGCCAGGAGAGTTCCTTTTGAGCTTCTAAAATTGATTGTGAGGTTGACTGCAAAACTGTGAACATATTCAACAAGACTTTCAATGTGTGGAGTGTGTCATATATGAACCACAAAACCAGTAAAGCTGTTTCAACAGTACCAACAGGTGAATGATCAGGGTATTCCAAGCAGAGGGCACTGTAGGGACAGAAAGGTTTGGGCCATTGAGCTCAGTGGTGTGCGATACAAGCTCAGGAAGGAAATCTAGCCAGAAAGGACCATGCTCATTGTTTTTAATCCTTAAAAATAAGACTGTAGGATGACTACAGATCACCAGATCCATAGGGCATAAAAATAGTGGATGTGGCACAGAGACCAGGCTATTTTTCATAAGCAGGCAAGTGGAGTATCAAAGAGATACTGAGGAGAAAGAATCTATAGAGGCAATAACTTGACCTGATCCTAGATTCAGCAGCAAGCTCCTTGTCACTCTCCAAGGGTAGAAGAGGGAATGATTCTCCCCTTACAGAGCCCAATCAATAATTCATGTATCCAAGTCCTCACGCATTCACTTTAGGACTATACTCTAGACATTGATCTATGAACCAGATTCAAGATCCCTCCGACTGCTGGCATTACCTCTCTGTGGCACAAGGCCAGCCCTTTGTAAGCCTGCATTCCATCTGTCTAAAATTATAAAAATGCTAGTACCTGGACATAATGCCCTGGCTTCAGAAGCTAAGAGATGAAAACACTTCCTGAGGTAAACTAGGAAAAAGAAATTATAGAGTCAGTGTGGTAACCGAGTAGCTAAGCAGCATTTAAAAATAATTATTCTGAGGTACAGAAACCTTTACACAAACAAAAACATTTTAAAAAATTCCTACCCTGACTAACAGCAAACTGAAAAAGGGGGCTTAGGCCAAAACAAGTGGTTCTCTATGGTATAACTCCTAGTATGGAAATTATTTAACAGTGGAATGACTAATGCAAGCCAGTTGGGCAAATCTTGCTCCTGTTGTATAGATTTTTATTTCTTTGGGAAGGCTTAGTGCAGTTCCTTCCAGAGGAGCAGAGCCAGAAGCCTGTGGGCAGGACAGCAAGAACTTTCCTGAAGGAGTGGCCAGGGCTTCCTCAGCCCTTCCCGCCCCGTCACTGCATTCCTGGGAGCAGCTCCCTGTGCTCCAAGCATCTCCTTGAGCACAGGACTCTGGTTACTCTCTGTGAAAACAGAACCTGACTCTGTGCCCAGTAAATGTCCTTATGAGACCTACCTTCCACATTGGAGACGAAGCCCAGGCTCCGCTTAAGGTCTGAGCAGATGGAGTGGAGGCACCATCGGAATTTCGCATCACAGCGATACTTGTTGGCCCCACATGTGTCGTAGCAAACGTCTAGCTGGTTGCAACACTTGGTCATTGCTGGAATGCCCAGGTCCATCTGCAAAAGGGAGGGAGAGAAAAAGAAGGAGGAAAATACCACACTTAGACCAAGGATGACTTCAGGCAGCTCTACCTACCTTGGCATGACCTAGCCAGTCCTCAGATGCCTGTTATGTGTTCACTTCAATTCAAAAATGACAGGGGCTTGGTAAGATAAAGCAAGTCACAGAGTGCTAAGTTTTACTGTTACTTAATTGCTAATTAATAAATTACTAGTTTTGTAACACTAGTGGAAAATAGAGACCAGAAGGGAGGACAAGAGGCCAGTGCTGTGGGACTACAGACTCAATTAAAACTTAGATTAATATTTCCCTCTGAGATTTTGTTTGAAAAAACAATTCCAAGGCTAAAAGCCATTTTTAAAAAAATCAGCCTTGGTTGAGCAAAAGATGGCTGGAAAATCTCAGGAACTCATTCCATCATACAGCACCGTTTGCAAGGTGTCTGATGTAGATTAGGAGGCAGAAAGGGATGAGAACACACAGTTCCTGACTACAAGGGGACCATGACCAACCATACCACACCATACACACACACACACACACATGCACACACACACACACACACACACACACACACATCTGCTAAGCATTCTACAAACAGCTATAAGTGTTGTGGGGGAGGAAGCCTGAGTAACTAAGAGAATAGTATATCACCTCTCAACCTACAAGACACGGTTTTTAAAGAAGCCTTTGAAAAAAGACCAATAGAGGTTTATGAGAGGTGAGGATCAACTTAGGATACAGAGACAGAGAAAGGGCATGAGCGGGTCATGTGAGTGAGCTTGTTTAGTGTTTCAAAGGTCTTCGCAGGAGCCGCCTGTGCATGTGCACATGTGCGTGCATTGGTGCATACACAGAAGACTGAGATGGGGAGCAGCTCAGCCATAGGGCATTTCCGAGCATGCACGGGGGCCCTGGGTTGGCTCTCCAGCCCTACAAAACAAAACAAAGCTTTTTAATTAGGGAGAAAGGCAAGATCATGGCCTTGACCTCCAAGTAAGTAGTTAAATTTGATAAGGAATCTAGGGCAAGGCGGAGCCGTGATCAAGCAGAGTAATCACTGTGTGGTCTATAAAACAGACTGGGGCAGGATGCGTATAAGTGTGGGCATGCAGCTTGGGGTCTCTGCTGCTTTCCTGATAACATAAACTTGGCCTTGGGTAAAGCTGTCCGAATCTGGCACCATGGTATAGGGAGAACTGGCAGATCTTTTCCACCTTTAAGTACTCTTATTGGCACTTTTATTCCAAGGCTACCAAAAGCAGAATGAGGACTCTGGTGTTTTAAAATGCCCCTTTAAGGGATAATAATCTATTCTCATTAGATGAGGTACAGGTCCGGGTGCTATAATTCTGAATAAATGCCCATTTGCCCATTGTCTGAGACCTGAAATGGACAGTCTCGCCTGTCCCCAAAACTAAAACATACATCGCAACAGAAACAAATGTGAATTACATAGGTGTAGCAATCATTCAATTTGATTCTAGATATCCTTGAACTACTTCTTAAATAACATAATGCACAGCGCTTCCATAGTGATTACATTGATAGCCAAAATGTGTGGTTTCTCTAATATAATATTTATTTAGAAGGATTTCTTCCTCTGCGTCTGTATAGTTACTAATGGTTGTGGACCAGGTTGGACACCCAAGTTATGCAAAGCATGGGGTACCACATCAAAAGTGGCACCTTCCTCCAAGATATTCTAGATGTATATTTGTTAAGAAAAGTATCCAGACAAGGGCAGTCAGTTCTACTCTGAACATAGTTTGTTAAAATGTATTTCTGACAGATGGAAGAACAATGTCTTGAGAAAAAAGGGCTCTTTTTCTAATTTGCTTGAAAATGCTATATAAGTGAGCAACATTTTAGAGGAATACACATTATATGACTTAGATAATTATGTCAAAGTAAAATCTTTGCATCATCAGAAAAATAAAGTTTAGCTGAGCTGTAAAAGGCTTAAGTCAACAACTTCTGAGTATAGAATTCTTTATCCTATTTTTAAAATATAATCTAATTTTTAAA